CCGACGTCTGATTTCTTTTTAAAAAATGAGTTTCTAAAGTGCATAAACTTTTGGGATTGACTGTATAGCCAATATATGCTTAATCTGAACTAATTTATTTTTGAATGTATCGTAAAACTAGCATCTGTATTCCCGAGTTTTGTGAGATAATTAGAACGTTCGAGGGTGAAATATATATATGCACGATTTTCTTACCCTTTGGTAATAAAATTGAGGTGATACGAGCAAAGGCGTGATGACTACGACAAGCTAGCTAAAATGCCAATGTACTGCTAGCCGACTTTTACTACGAAAAGAACGCGTAACCTTTGAACAGACGAAATCCTTCTCTCATTTGAGTTGTAAAAATTCGTTTACAAAACTTGCGTGTGAAATTACATTTCAGTTATTTTGCATGTTTTGCTGACACGCTATGCCTAAACCTGATTTTATTTTAAATGCCACGAAATTATCTAACAGCTAAAATTTGGACAAATTTAGAATCCTAAGGATTAATTCGCGAGTGAATTCGGTAATAATTTTTGACAAACATTTGAACTTTCGTGATACAAGCAAGTGGAGAGACGGTGGAAAGGAAAGAAAAAACACAAAGTGACATTATTTGTTCGTGGAAGTACCCACGTAACATCGTATTCTTAAGCGGGGGTGGTGTACGCCCTGCCAGCTTTGTTACATCGCGGAAGCCCTTTAGGGCTAAGGAGATATAAAAGATGAGACAACGCAGTTCTCGACGCGTTCGTCCTCGACCCAATTCTCGCGGCAACGAAAACTTAACTAGCCCGGTATCCTGCACGGAGCCGTGTTCATCCCTCGATCAGTCGAACGGTATTTCGTCGGGGTCTCCGAACATCGAAGAACGGCTCGCTGAACTTAACAACGACGCTCATGATCACGAGAACCTACACGGTGTTAATGAACGTCGCACGAGGTCCGAGAGGTACATTTTTGTCGTTTCAAACCGACACGCCAAGTTCGTAATTTCCATCTAAATTCGCGATGACAAAAAGTATTTTATCAAACGAAAGATAAATCATCTGCTACTGAGATTGTTTCAAAATGAAGCTCAATATAATATTCAGTTTACAATTTGCAAGGGAATCTTAGGTAGCGTAATTGACGATGACGTCAACGAATTCGTGTAAATGTATAAGCATTGAAAAGGTTTCAAATGTCTGTGACTGCCGGCACAGTTTACAACGTAGAACGTTTCGCTCGCTAACGATTGACTGTAGGGCTGGTTATAGTGACTGCGATCCGGCCGGCTCGTTTCCTGGGAATTCGGCGGGCAGTTCGTCGAACAGCAGCTTGTCGACGAGAAGCCTGGACAGTCCGAGTACCAGCCTGGAGCAGGTACACCCAGCCACCTCTGCGACGAACACATCGACTTCGTGGGACAGCGATGTTGACGTTGAGCCAGATCCACCGGACTGGAGCCAAGGTGTCGCCGAGGAGGTCCTCATGCGCCTCAGCAACGCGGAGAAGAAACGACAGGAAGTTATCAATGGTTAGTAGTTCTCTTTCTTTACAAGATCGTTCATTTGGAGTCTTGTATTTATTTTTTGTACGAATTATAAAATTGTTTTATTTTTTTCTTTACCAGAACTCTTTCACACGGAACGATCTCACGTACGAGCGCTGAGAGTGCTGTCGCATGTCTTCCACAAGCCGCTCCTCGAATCTCAAGCGCTTCCATTAGACCAAATACAATTACTATTCTCCAATCTGGACGAAATGATGACGATCCATTCGCGGTTCAATCAAGCTATGAAACGCAAGAAGAAGGAAAATCCTTGCGTAGGCGATGTCGGAGATCTACTGTTAGATATGTTCGACGGCGAGAACGGTGAGACTTTCGAGAGGGCCGCGTCGACTTACTGCGCAAAACAGCAAGTGGCCCTCGACGCATTGCGAGATCGCCGCCGCAAGGATCCGAAATTAAACGCTTTCCTGAACGAGATCGAGGCGAATCCCCTGTGTCGGAGGTTACAGCTTAAGGATCATATTTTAACCGGAATGCTCAGACTGACCAAATACCCGCTGCTATTCGAGAATTTGGCGAAATACACGCCGGAGAGTAACGATAAGGAAAAGAACGCGGTTCTACGAAGTTTAGATCGCAGTAAGGAGATTCTCAGTTGCGTGAACCAGGCAGTACGCGAGGCGGAAGATTATCAGAGGTTGGCAGAGATCCAGCGTACCATTGACAGAACCGCGTTCGACAGATTCGACCATCCGACAGTTCAAGAATTCAAAAACCTGGATATAACCAAGCGTAAATTGATTTATGAGGGACCATTACAGTGGCGTAGAACCGAACAAAATCGAGCGAAACCGGTGGACTTGCACGTGGTGCTGCTCGACGATACGATACTCCTTTTGCATCGACAAGACGAAAAGTACCTGTTAAAGTTCATCAACACGAATCAAGCAAACTCCGTGTTGAGCCCGATCGTAAAGGTCTCCACTGTTCTCGTAAGGCATAATGCCGTGGATAAGAATTCCCTGTATTTAGTGAATACATCGCAAAACGGAGCACAGATCTACGATCTGGTCGCAGCCTCGCCCGCGGAGCGGAAGCTATGGTGTAAACATATATCCGAGGCAGCTGAAGCGTACAAGGCTCGTGATAAGCAAGGTAGAAGACCTACTCCACCCACTACACTGCCAGAAGAACCTGGACCTACGAACGAGGATACTTCCTCGGCGGAACATGACAATATTCCTGATAAAACGGATCAGGAGCCACAAGAACAAGAACCAGAACCGAAGGAATCCGCGCCGGATACTAGCATAGAACAAGAGGGAGAATCGCCTAATACTCCTGGGTCTGAGATTTCTAGTACCGAACAAATAAAGCAACAGCAACAACCACAGCCACAGTCGTCTGAACCTCCAACAACAGGTTTGTAATTTCAACATGTTTTACTATTCTCAGAGAGCCGCGCATATTATTTGGTAAAATGTATATATTTTAATGTCTTTTTTTAATTAGGCGCAAGTGAACCATTGCGACTGGTTACTTGTACCCAAGTATCGTTAATAGACCCGCTTGAGGTTCATGTAGAAGTACCTCCTGTACACGTTGCCGAACCGGTGCTTACACCTATAGGTATGTTAATTACTGATGACATAACGTGCCAAGAGTTTTTAAAAATTAACTCGTAAACAATATGATTGTTTTCTTATCTTTCTGCTTTTTTTTCAGAACGTCTCCGAAGAAAAGATGAAATAATTAAACAAGCTCTGATCGAGAAACAAACGTTGGTAGCAGATATATTAAATATTCCAAAAGAAGATTTCGAACATGTGGCGGATATGGCGTCCGAACCATCGAGCCTGGAAAAAGAACCTGCTGAACTTATACTCGCTGCTATTAGTCAAGGTGCTTTTAATACTGGATGTCTCTCGAAAGCCTTACGTGAACATATCTTAAAGAATGATTTATAATTATTTATTTTATGCACGCAGCGAACCAATTGGTAGGAATGTTAAATTCCGCGTTAAACGTAAGCGAAACGGAAACTGTTCTTGCATCGCGTGGAGCATCAGCATTAACAACACCACCGAGTTGCGAAGCAACTGGATGCCCATCACTACGAGTACACCATCATTCACAACAACCAGCGATATCTATCGCTAGTTTACAACCAGTGTGTCACTCTTTAACATCTCAATTGTCACAGTTGTTGGTAAGATATACAAACAGATTTATGTTATAACAATGATACACTTAATACTAGAGTTATAACAGTGGACAGTACGTAGTAATTCTGTTCATGATTATGCAAATTGTAGGAGATTATAAAAGAACGGGAGGAGGAACGTGAAACATTGAGAAAGGAATTGCGCAGAAGTAGAGAACGTCTTCACGCTCTTGACGCGGACATACAACGCCGCGAATTCTCTGAAACGTATACCACGTCGAGTCACACGCAAACTGAACCCGGTTAGTTTTCCATTCTTTCAATCTCCTTCCTATATTTTCATTTGGAAAAAGTTAACAATTAATTCTCTTTTGTCTAATTCAGGTGAAGGTGTGAACAAGGATAGCAGTATTGACGATACAGCTCGTGATGTAAGAAATTCGATTTAGTATATTTTTAATTTCTCGTCAGTGTTAACGTAAATATAATGTTAATTTCTAATCTTGATTCACAGGAATTTGTGGATGCATGCGACGAGTCTGAAACACGGGAAGAATTGGAACACGAGACAGAAACGAAAGTGATGGGAGACAGTGTAGGTTGAAAACGTCCCACGTGGAAGACGTTGTATTTAAAAATTAATAATCGAGCAGGTGCATTTCACGAGCAAGATAATTTCCGAACGCTCATACTGGAAGAAATCAAAATCATGTAAAAACAAAAAAAGATTAAAAAAACTGACAAGTGGCGAGTAGCTGTTCATGGAATACAATAATATTAGCTACATATTTATAGTCATGGGTCAATGATTAATCATACCTTTGCCAAAGATTTTATGTAACTGGATCATATATGACGTAGAGGCGTACGCCAAATTGCGTTATATTATCAATAGCCGGGAATTACACGAATATTTTACAAAAACGGTATAACAATTCAATTTCTTATGTCACATCGCGGAGGAAACCCTTTTTTGATGAAGTATTGAGAATCCCAAATAGATTGCTAAACTTATTCTTGTTCAATGTCTCTCTTATACGGAAGAGGCTTGTACGCTTATCAAAGAGTTTTCTTTGCTGTAGATTATTTTAAAATCTATGTTGTTATACTACTCCGAAACTATACTTATTATTGTATACAAGTTGTTACACCGTGTGTTTTGAACGGCATCGATTTTTACAACCCAATGTTTTGTATACATCAATTTATATAATGAATTTTTCCCTTGGGATGATTTTAAGGAAAAAGAAAGAAATTAACTGAAGATCAACAACTTACTAGAAATTACTTTGAAATACTTATTGTTAATGCATTTTATACAGAAAAGATATTTACACGAATATATATTGCGAATGCGTTTAGAACAATTTAGTTGTTCATCCGATGAAACATACCTTTTGTGATCTGCTGCGGTATATATTTGGAACCAACTGTGTTAGAATTAATTCAATAGTCACGAAACAAGCAATTTGCATTTATACACGGAAATATATAGTCGCATAGGGACGCGTCGAGTATTTCGGCATAAACGAATACACATTGATTAATGTGGAGTAGCAATTGTCGACGCAGTATATAAACACGCTTTTTATATGCTTTCATTATATCCCGTAACCGAATGTTCAGGATATTAATATTAAGATAAATTAATCCATCAAGCATTATTAATGGTATTGAAATCTTACGAACAGAATACAAATTTTTTACTGTTTCTACGGTAAAAAGAAAATTGTTATAGTAATCCTTATTTCTAGCAGATTTTATTATTTGCAAACGACATTTGCTTTAAGAAGAATTAGGCCTCTCGGTGCTACGCTTGCCTAAACGAACAATGAAGTTCCTCATTCGAATATAATGGAATTTAGGAGTAGAAATAAGAAAATGAAAGGAAAAGAATTTGTATACTATACTCGGAGAATCCTGAACATGACTGGTAACATCAAAATTATGAAAGAATAATTATAGGTAAAAGAAGAGCGATAATTATTGTAAAACACCTTTACAAATGAATTTATATAGCAGATGCATACAATATGTACAATCATGCACAGATAAAAATATTACGGAAATATTTTACCTCTGTTCAATTAAATGCTAACGTCTTGTTAATAAAAATAATTGGTAGAGAAAACACAGTTGGGGTGAAGAAAAATGAAAACTATGTACTCTCTGTAACAAAGGACTGATCGTGCAAAAAAGACTTACATACCTGTTTACATAAAATCTTTGCTACTATTAAATACTAGTAATAATTCTCTCCCGTAATGATAAAGTACGAATAATTATAAATACATTACTATGTACGTGTATAAAGTATTTAATAACATTATTAGTTGATACTATTATTAATTATTATTNTTGAATTAAAATACTTATTAAATTGTAAGTTACCTTGTAATTTCATTTTCTTTACATTCTCTGAAAGTAGATATGCACGAACAGATCCTAACATTTTTATCTGCAGTTTTTAAAGAAGATAATGGTAGATGGATTTATTGTAACAGTACTAATTTTAATCGTTCATTCAGGCCGAACGTCAAAAGTAGTGAAAGCTAAATAAAAACATTCTCTTATCACTGGAACAGTGGGACGTATATACCGTACCCCGTGCTTCAATACTAAATACAAGTAAGAGGGAGGAGATTATCGTGCCATTTATACGATTCGTATTGTGTACGTTTCATGGAAAGCTGTGTATTCTTTTAGTCTGACATAACTAATTACTCAAAATGCAATATCTAAAATATTCGAAGCATTCGATCTCTAAATATTTCATCACTTTCATGTGGTTGGCCACACTTGTTTATTATTGTAATTATCGGTGCAACACGTGTAACTGCACAGTCAGTGTCAATCATGACAACGATGACAACTACGAGACATGAACGGCATTACTTTTTCAATACTCTCGCTATTTTGCTAAAAGCTGTAGAAAAAGAACGAACGACTGTCGATCTTCGAAATGAAGCGTCAGTTTATGGAACAGTAGAGCACGTAGATGCGTAAGTATTCGCAAGTTATATAATTTGTCGTGAATATTGGGCTAGTATTATCGAAGAGTCTTGTTGTTATCTTCATTTTTTGTAGCTTCATGAATATCGTAATGAGAGATTGCATTTTCACTGATCCCAGAGGGGATTCGTATAGTTACGCCATGTTCTTCGTCCATGCAAGAAACATCCGGTTTGTTCACATTCCTCCAAAAGTAAGTAATGTCCAAACGCACATTCTTTCATTGTTATTGTTATTTTTTAATGTATCAAGTATTTAATTATTGTATTTGATTCATAATGATGTATAATAGGATATCAAATTTATTTCGATCATTGGTCGTGTACCGCACGTCACGTTAGGTTAGTTTACAATTATCCTTACGCACTTGCTGTGCAACAATATTTTATGATTTTCGTATCAGGAAATTTATGCCAAAGAGTGTTAAGAAATCAATTTTATGTCGTTACTTTCAGGAATTGACAATACGCATGTTATTATTATTTCGCCTAGGTACTTTTGAATTCATAGGTTGCTCTTGTGTTCTTTGTGTTTATTGACAAATTTGATGCAAGAGATAATGAATAAGACCGATTTTTTAACGTGCCTTTAAAGTATTCTTCTATTAAATGTTAAATGGTGGTCGTATGAAACTGTATTATATAACTGAGATAAGATAGTGATGATAAGAACTTGGAGTCCACTTTACAAGTCTCTGAAATCTTGTTCAATACAAGAAGTTTTGAAGTATAAGAGGAACAATAATCTCATACTTTGTAGAAATTCTTGGACTGAAAACCTGTACAAATTCTCTGTAGACTCGAGATTTTATAGTACAGTGTCGATTACTCAGTCTACAGAATTTAGCATGAGCTCGTTTAAGCTTCTGGATTACGATTGTATTGGATTTGATTTAGACAATACACTTCTACGTTACAATGTAACAAACTTAGCTCATTTAGTATATGAAATTTTGGCTGACTATCTGATAAAAGAAAAAGGCTACGATTCAAAATATTTGTCGCTGCCATTAGAAGACAAGGATTTAGACTTTATGCAAAAAGGATTGCTCTTAGATTCTGAGAGGGGAAACATACTGAGGATAAATGCTGATGGTATAATTCAGCGAGCATGTCATGGAACTAATTTGTTGAGCATTGAAAATATCAAAGAGATATATCCCGGACAGAGATGGGAAGTAACAGATGCTTTTTGCTATGACATGCTATCGACATGGAATGGCCCTATGTCGATGCAACTGAGAAGTTTATTAGATTACTTTGATGTTTCTACAGCTCTGATTTTTGCAAGACTAATAGACACTCTTGACGATCAACACGGAGGACCTTTGAATTCGTATAATGTTTGGCCTGACATGTTAGAAGGGTTGGTCGAAATGTATAACAAGGATCATTTTAAGTTGGACAAGGGGCAATTTTTTCCTGCTTTAAAAACCAGTCCTGAGAAATACATGTATAAATGTACAACAAGGACCATATCTTGGTTAAAGGAATTAAGAAAACATCGTGTTACTTTCCTTCTCACTGGGTCAAACGCCGATTTTGTTAACTTCACTGCTTCATACGCTCTTGGAGAAGATTGGAAATCTCTTTTTGATATTAATATTTGTTTTGCGAAAAAACCTGGATTTTTTACTGAAAATCGTCCGTTCCTTCAAGTTAATAATTTTGAAGAAGGTGCTGCGATAGAAAGTAAAGATTTAAAACGAGGAGAGATATATAGTCAAGGTAATTGGAAAGGGCTCACCGAATTTCTTGGATATATGTCTGAAAAGGAAAATCCCCGTTGTTTATATGTCGGTGATAATCTTGTGCAAGACATTTATGCACCGAATTCATTTGTACAATGCGACACAATAACAGTTAGTGAGGAGCAAATGTCTGAAGGGATGGTTCACCAAAAACTTTCACATCAAGATGAGAAAGTATTGAATTCAACATTTTGGGGTTCCTACTTCTGTTTAAAAGATTCAACAATTAACAAGGATTCCTTATGGGGACATGTTATTAAGAAATACTCGGTACTTTGTATTCCCGACGTAGATGTAATAGCTCAACAACCATTAGATGAATGTTACACGTGCTTTGATAAGAATGGAAAAAAATATAAAGGATATTATCCTGCAATACCACTTAGCATATCGATGCTCTAGATTTAGTTTTGCAAGACTGCTAAACGAGAACCTTCTAATTTTGTGTTGACATATTCATAAATAGCAACATCTTGCTCCGTTTCGTGATACATTTTAATTTCAAATCACGTATGTCTTAATTTAAGATACGTATTATACCAGCTATCAAGGAACAGTTGCAACAATTGTTAAGGCCTAAGAAGGATTTCGAAAGTAGTAAAAATATATGGAGAATGAAACGCATTGAACAAAAGCAACAAGAAGGGCTAGCAGCGGTGAAGAAAATTTTAGAAGATAGAAAAGAAGCTGAATTAAGTAAGAACGAAAATGAAACTGATTAAAAACTGATTTTTGTAAGATATTTATTCACAATTCGATATTTGATGTATAAAAATAATTTCTATACAAACATGCATTGCACAAAATACTGTACAAGTTTAATGTAAAAATGATTGCTTTGTACAAATTGTAAGTACAATTGTCAAATATACTGTCAAAAATTGATACATAAACAAATATAAATAAAATACGTCCATTCTATTACATCTGTTAGCACTTTGCTATAATAATAATAATACAAAACAAACTCTATTATAGTTGTATGTTCTCAACATACTGCTACAGTTTTTTAAATTTTTGATAACAATATTAATTAGTCTTTATTATAATAATATAAAAATGTTTAATCACTCAACGGATTAATAATAAAAACATTATTTTCTTATAGCGTTTTTAAAAATATAACAAAATATTGTTATTAAACAACAATGCATAGATGCTAACAAAATTCCATTTTGTAACGTAAGTACGTCTAGTGAGATAAAGCGTCTGTTATTTTCTTTCAACGGCAATTGCTATTCCCATTCCTCCACCTACACACAAGGCAGCAATACCTTTATTTCCTCCAGTTCTTTCTAAAGAATGTAACAAAGTTACTAATACTCGTGCACCTAGAATAGGACGTTGAATGTAATAAGACCTTCAAATATTTGTTATGTGCTTCATCAGTTTAAGTTTTTACCTGATGCACCAATAGGATGACCTAAAGCAATAGCTCCACCGTTTGTATTAACTTTATTGGGATCTAACCCGAGGGTTTTTACACAAGCTATTGCTTGGGCTGCGAAAGCTTCATTCAGTTCGTATAAATCGACTTCTTCTTTCGTCCACTTTGCTTTTTGCAACTGAAATATCGATAATTTCTCATAGCATCAATTTTCATGCTCATGCAAGTATAATATACTTACCACCAGCTTGACCGCTGGTATGGGACCTGTACCCATAATTCTTGGTTCCACTCCAACTTGAGCCACCGCGACAATTTTACATAGTGGAGAAAGTCCCCTCTTTGCAGCAGTGGTTGCTGTCATGAGAACTACTGCTGCTGCTCCATCATTGATACCCGAGGAGTTACCAGCAGTAACTGTACCTTCAACCTAATAACGTTGCATTCTTTTATAATTTACTATTTGAATTCGTGTGGAAAATGAGGGCTCATCATACTTTTAGAAAAGCAGGTTTTAATTTTTGGAGACTTTCAATTGTTGTTCCAAACTTCGGAAATTCATCACGATCTACTATTATATGTTCTTTTCTAGTAGGCACTGTAACAGGGACGATCTCCTTATTGAAGTGCCCTGCAGTAATTGCAGCCTCTACTTTTTGTTGAGATTTAGCTGCGTATTCGTCTTGTTCTTCTCTACTCACGTTGAAGTCCTTAGAAACATTTTCAGCTGTAACAAATCGTTAATTGTAATTAGAGAATTCTTAAGTAAATCTCCATACCCATTATAACTTCCATACCTGTTATTCCCATATGAATACCAAGGAATGCATCTGTTAAACCATCAAAGATTAAAGTATCTATCAAATTACAGTCTCCCATTTTCACTCCATTTCTCAGGTACGTCACATGTGTGGCTTGGCTCATATTTTCCTGGCCACCAGCTACAACAATTTGGTTCTCTCCTATTTTTATCGATGCATAGCCATTTATAATTGCCCTAAAAATATAATTCTTTTGTAAAACATTTCCAAGTTTTTGACGTAACAAATTTAAATTTCAGAGTAGCATGAATAATTCCATTCTCATCAATGTTCTTTCATATGAAATGAGAAATGTTATCGTGGAATTATGAAAATGTGAAGATAAAAATTAATATATACTTTAAACCAGAGCCACATAGCATGTTGACTAGGTGAGCAGGTGTAGATGGGGGAATGCCAGCTTTGATTGCTGCCTGTCTGGCGGGATTTTGACCTTGACCAGCAGTTAATACCTATGTGAAAGTATTTCATACATTTTAAAATCATTCATGTGGTTTGTTGTGTAAGCATCAACATATAAATTATTTATATATATTATCTAAATAAAAATGTATTTAACAGTTAATAAACCTTGGCTTACTTAAATATGTTATTACACTTAATTACGTATGTAGAATGAACTAAAACTTCAAGTTACCTGTCCCATTATAATTTCAGAAACATCTGTAGGTTCTATTTGAGCTCTTGCAAGACTTTCCTTTATTACAATACTTCCCAAATCTGATCCTTTCAGTGAAGACAAGGAACCAAAAAAAGATCCTAAACAATCAAGGAAGTTCTGAATAGGTAAATTGCAATTCTATATATCTCATGTGTCAGTACTTAAATTGGGAGACAATTTATATATGATATAGGGAGACAAGGTGATGTACTACATTTATCAAAGGAATCTTTCATTTTAAGTCAAGGATCACTGAAATAAAAATGACACAATTTACACAGGCATCTGCAAGTGTGTATAATATTTTTATGAATTAAAAACGTTCAATTTATAAAATAATAAGTACTTATTGGACAGAACCATTGTTATGCATACATGTCTTATTCTTAACAGAAAAACTACTGTCAGTTAAAAATTGTTTTGTTTACACAATGACATTTAAACTGGGTTAGTAGTAGGTACACTATAGATCGAATTTCTGTTATTTTCAACTGTTACTAGATGTGAGCTTGCAACTTGCTAATTCATACCTATCGGTGTTCTGACTGCCGATACGATCACAACGTCACTACTGTCCATGTTGAAAAATTATTAGAAATCACGTCTGAACTACTGAAAAAGCAAAGTTAGACTGCCGCCAGGAACCGATATAAGAGAAATAAATTAGGAACTGCTGGCGACGTGTGCCAGTAACGGCTTAACGAAAGTATGTCAAAGGAAATCTAGGCGCATTCTTTCATGAATAACTCCGTATAGGTATGACTTGTGAATGCTTTTACTACTTTTTATTCATCTGAAGGGAGCGATGACTGTTCTCATTAATTTTTAATATTAAACAAATCGGATTCAATCGTAACATAAGTTACTAATTTATTGTAGCAACGAAATTCATTCTACGAGTAAACTTTATTTTAATCATATACATATATATACAACATATTTTGTTAGTAATAATGAAGAAATTTAAACAATTTGTTCGCAATATTTGCTGTTTCAGATGCGTTACGGTCCTGCTCGGCTACGTCATCGGCTGGATGACTTCTGATTCGGCGTACAGGTGGCGCTGAACCTCCAATCGTGGTGTCGTGGTAGTGCTCGTTTGTTTTTACCCAGCGTGCATTGTGAACAGTGACTGGTGCTAAGATGGCCGACAACAAGGAGGAGATTTCGGAGCTCGTCGAAAAGCGAGGTATTTATTGCTGTTGCACTATTTATTTTGCGTGATCGTCGTTTAAAATAGACGCGAGATGTACGACGAGCATGTCGGCGATGACGAACGGTCAATATGATCTGTAATTGCCGTAAAAATCACGCCATCTGCACGCACGGTGCTCAGAAGGAACGATCGCGAAATTCGTCGTGAATACACTAACGAATCGGAGATCAGTTTTTCTTGTTCTTCGCGAAATCCGCGATGCCCACGGCTAGTTAACCTAGGTTACGTCGAAGAGGATATGTCTGTCAACACGATCAGTCAGTCTCGATTAGTGCCAAACATGCCACCTTTTGACAGGCTACGTGCACACTCCGTTGCACGACACCCTTCGTACAGTGTGCAAGTACGTGCGAGCAGACAGAATATAACCGTGTTCTGTGTCCGCCTAAGCGCTATGCTCGTTACTCACTAAGGTNGGACAGAACCATTGTTATGCATACATGTCTTATTCTTAACAGAAAAACTACTGTCAGTTAAAAATTGTTTTGTTTACACAATGACATTTAAACTGGGTTAGTAGTAGGTACACTATAGATCGAATTTCTGTTATTTTCAACTGTTACTAGATGTGAGCTTGCAACTTGCTAATTCATACCTATCGGTGTTCTGACTGCCGATACGATCACAACGTCACTACTGTCCATGTTGAAAAATTATTAGAAATCACGTCTGAACTACTGAAAAAGCAAAGTTAGACTGCCGCCAGGAACCGATATAAGAGAAATAAATTAGGAACTGCTGGCGACGTGTGCCAGTAACGGCTTAACGAAAGTATGTCAAAGGAAATCTAGGCGCATTCTTTCATGAATAACTCCGTATAGGTATGACTTGTGAATGCTTTTACTACTTTTTATTCATCTGAAGGGAGCGATGACTGTTCTCATTAATTTTTAATATTAAACAAATCGGATTCAATCGTAACATAAGTTACTAATTTATTGTAGCAACGAAATTCATTCTACGAGTAAACTTTATTTTAATCATATACATATATATACAACATATTTTGTTAGTAATAATGAAGAAATTTAAACAATTTGTTCGCAATATTTGCTGTTTCAGATGCGTTACGGTCCTGCTCGGCTACGTCATCGGCTGGATGACTTCTGATTCGGCGTACAGGTGGCGCTGAACCTCCAATCGTGGTGTCGTGGTAGTGCTCGTTTGTTTTTACCCAGCGTGCATTGTGAACAGTGACTGGTGCTAAGATGGCCGACAACAAGGAGGAGATTTCGGAGCTCGTCGAAAAGCGAGGTATTTATTGCTGTTGCACTATTTATTTTGCGTGATCGTCGTTTAAAATAGACGCGAGATGTACGACGAGCATGTCGGCGATGACGAACGGTCAATATGATCTGTAATTGCCGTAAAAATCACGCCATCTGCACGCACGGTGCTCAGAAGGAACGATCGCGAAATTCGTCGTGAATACACTAACGAATCGGAGATCAGTTTTTCTTGTTCTTCGCGAAATCCGCGATGCCCACGGCTAGTTAACCTAGGTTACGTCGAAGAGGATATGTCTGTCAACACGATCAGTCAGTCTCGATTAGTGCCAAACATGCCACCTTTTGACAGGCTACGTGCACACTCCGTTGCACGACACCCTTCGTACAGTGTGCAAGTACGTGCGAGCAGACAGAATATAACCGTGTTCTGTGTCCGCCTAAGCGCTATGCTCGTTACTCACTAAGGTCATACGCCGACGGCCTTGCGATTCGCACCGTCGCTGAAGTAATCTCGCGCGAGATTACCGTTATCTCTTACCGCGAATTTACTGCCGGCTGATTCGCCTATAACACCCACGCTACTTGGTTATCACGCGTGTTTGTTCGCGGGTTAGGTTTCCCGATTGCGGTGCACGGACCCCGGTTGGAATTCCAGAGATCGAACGTCCCAAGGTGCACTCGACTCGTGAACGTGTAGTAATAATAAACATTGTACGATGTCACGATGAGATAAATTCCTCGGCGAGAACATCGCGGTGATCGATTGCCACCTGACGTTATGCGCTGCTGTTCGCGTTCTCGTGGAATTTGCTCCTCGGTACGCGTATCGCCGACATTCAGATATTAGTTGTGTACGTGTTTAATTTGCCAATTTCCTTGTTTTGAGCCCCGATAAGAATACGTCTGATAATTCGTGTTTCGCGATTTATGTTTTCTTTCGATATCGGAGGGGAAAATTACCGTGCTCCTCGGTGACACGTGGTAGACCGCGTATTCTACCTTCGTAGACAGATTAACATTAATCACTAAACATTAGCACAATGAGGACTGTTCAGTTCATCCGCAATTCTTATTCTCGTAACCAGTGTATGTTTACCATGATTGTACCCATGTTTAATATTGTCATTCGCGAATGTGTATGCAGCCAGTGGAGTGCTTATTTGCTTGATACTTGATTATCATTCATCGGCCATCTATTCGGTTTCTTATCTACGTACCGACCATTGTTTATCAGGCTGTCTCTTTTTTTACGAGATCATTTTCAACGCAAATGTATTCGACTAGGGTTGGGAAGACCGACAGTAGTGATTACCATCGCCGAGTAATCAGTTTTGATTTCTGCTCCTCTCGGCTGTACGTATAACGCGATTAACTGTTTCATTGTGCATCCCAGTATTATGCGCCACATCCTCCAACGGTGTTGCCTCGTACGTTAAACCAGTTCCCATGCATCTTTATTAGAATTTTCCCGTCCTCTCTCCGACTACGCCTTTAATACGGATCAATCTTGGCGCGTAGGTATCTCGGTGTAGACGTAGAAGGATACCGAGCCAATTCATTTCGGCGTGAACCGTAAGTCAAGGCGCGCCCTGGCATCGCGTGACTGTCAGTTCAATTCTTCGCAACGTTTTTCAATGTAATATCCGTTTAATCCATTCGGTTATTCTTTCGTTGTTAACCGTTTCAACGATACTCTAGAAACATCGTGATGATAACGATCTTATGTAGAACCAACGGATCAATATTCTCGCTTACTATTTTACCCGTGTGCCGTGGCTTGCTTCAATGAGGTTTTCTACAGCGAGCATTCTCGGTTTGTATAAATGTATTCGATTTAAATACTGTTGCAAGTTGTACTGAACGCTTAATGTCAGGCGTTTTTCTCAGTTTGACGATGTCGCCGATTTCAATTTGAAATTCAAATTACAGCGATTATTAGTCGATATTTTAATTTGAAATTCTTCCTTTAGTTAGAATTTACGGGTATGCCCTTGGGTATTCTTTTTGAGGACTTTACAATTTATTGCTGCATCGTACTGGCCAGCTGGCATTAGACATGCACGGGTGAATTTTGAACGGAAGGAAGCCGGCCATTTACGTTCGTTCACGAAAGCCACGCGTCTTCGTTTTTATCCCGATCCCAAATGTCAGTTGCACCCCTGCACTCGACGGGTCGTTCTCGATCGCTGTATCGTAAAGAACGTACACGTGCACGTGGCATCGAGTGTTCATCTGCGTAGAACGTTGGCACATTGCGCAGGCAGGTCTACGAACCGCGAGCGAATATATAATTTGAAAATAAGGTCGCCGGGTTTATAAGTCGGCGGTGCTCTCAATTTTGCTAACAGCCTAGTTAATAATCGCTACGTAAATCATCTTTTTCCGGCTCGGACACACCGGGGTATGTGCTCGAATGTTTCATTGCAGCTACGGTTCGTCTTACGATTTTTTCCAAACTCGTGTTGCGATCTCGAATAACTTAATTGATAGAGTAATTACTGAAAAGATTGTGTTCGGATCGGAGCCACGGTTTATCAATTCGATTCGTCAAACTTCTTCTTCCTAATTAACGGTAATGAATACGGAATTGTACACGATTAAATCATAATTCGAAATTATTCAGCCGACCCGTTAGCATCGCATCGTGCGAGGCACGAGCACGTATTACAATATAAACGTGACTTTCCATGCGGTAATGCAGCGTCAATAAAGGAAGCCTCGATAGATATTCTACGTCGATCTGCTCCATTTGCCATTTGTGCGATCGCTACGTGTTACCAATAGTAAAAACAACATATCACCTTTCGTATTTTCTATCAATATTTCTGCCATACAATATTAAAAATCGATAGGAGATTTTGTCGTTTCGTGTACAAATAAACGTCAGAAAAATTTAAGGATGCAAAATGACGATGGGATTTAAATATTTACGGTGAAATAAAATTTATGTAGCCAGATTATACGACATTGTGATTAAAAAAAATCTCTCGTCCTGCCGTTCAATCTTGCTACGGTTTTATTTATTCTTCGCTTTGTACATCAACTGGTCCTTAAACGGGTAAATTATCGATTTCGAGGGTAGCATGCGTGCCGTAAATGATTGCCTGGTCTTGTTCCACTTTAGCTCCGTACGTGTGTATACGGGCTGTTGTTAAACAGAAGCGTTGATAATTCATCCTCTCGAACTGGCACATAAACAGACGCTTTTCATTCAGACCCATTGAAAAGAGACATCTTCTTTGAACATGTATAATACTTCTGTTCTCCGAAACACGTGATTAACCCTCGGTAGCAATTCGTAGTTAAATTTCATGCTGTAGCCTACATATTTTAATTTGTCCCCGTACTGAATGGGAGCGTTCGTGCCCTTGTCTGCGACGTTTAGTCTGTTCGCCATTGTCACGTCGGGATGTTATAAACAGGAAACGATGTGGAGCGCTTTAAATTGATTGGCATTTAAACGAATCGGCGAAGGGAGAAGGTACAAGCTCCGACCGTCGAAACAAATCGTCCCGTTCTATATCGACGAGTGTCTAGCCTAGTTCATAGAGACATTGCGCAGCTACTGCAATACAATGTTCTTCGCACTCCAGCGAAATCGATATCGCGCCTCTTTTCGACGTACCAATGCGGTTTCCACGACTTGGTTCTATAACCAGCTTTGTCGCGTTCGATCTCAAGGGTTATCGAGATGGGTACTAAGGTTTTTTAACGCAGTTGCTATTTGTACACCTGGTGGTTCTGATGCTATCTTCCAAGACATCGTATTTGAATAAGTGTTGCGTTCTGGCTGCTCTGTACCAAGTGGCCACTAATTACGAGCGCAACGCCGCTCTATGTAATACGCACTAATTATTTTAACACCGTTACGTAATCGTTGACCGGCTACCGTTTTCGAAAGTCGTTTCCTGTCTCGTTAGATCCTTGGAGAAGATCTCTCGGCGCGAGGAATACAAATAAAATTTGAGAAAATCGGCAATTAAAGTTGTAATCAGGTCTTTTCATGCATTTAGCGTTATCTTGATGTAACGGACTTTGAATCATGCACGTGCTTTTCTATTGCGCCGTTGTGTATGTTAAATGAAGACGACAATCTATGATTTAGAACATCGTATCAACTGCATACTCTTTGGTGATAATATTATTTGCTCCCTGCATGTTTTTGATTTGCAATAGAACGTCGTTACAGTCTGATTCTGACAAAGAATCAAGGCGTTTTATTTCCGGATGGTACCTATTGGTTAATGGGTTAAATAGAAGAAACTTATTTAAAATAATCTTTTCTTAATATAAATGATTGGCATAACAGTTTCGTGTATAAACACGCTGTGTTAAGCGTAGAATTTCATATAAACGTAAGATTCATTTTTGTTATCTGGACTTATAAATAATCCAACAAAACTTTTCTCTCAATGATAAGTGAATTCATTCGAATTGCCAGAATATAATCCCACCTTCGGTTTTTGTCTGTTTTCTGTATTGATTTAACATCGTTCGTTTCATTTAAGGATGTATTG